CCTTGTCGAGGAAGGCAGACCAGTCCTGTCCGTCCAGCCCAGAATTGCCTGACCCCTGGACTCTAAATTGGGAGAGAAATAAACTTCTACTTTTTTTAAGCTGTTTTTTTGGAGGAGGTGGGAGTGTCTCTGTATGACAGCTACTTAGCATGTTCTCTGATTCATTCCCTGCCATTCAGAGAGCCGGGCATCTTGATTGCTCCATTTCACTGCTGCCTCACTAAGTACAAGGGAAATTGTTTAGACTTCTTAAATCTTTCCAGAAGCAAAGACTGTGGTTGCAGTTTCCTTTTATATTTCTTTACAGAGTCACAGTAGAGGGCAATGCGTACTTAATGCTCAGGCTCGGCTTAGTGGCTGAGCCCTGCTGGCTCCAGCTGATATTCTGTTGCTGTTACTTATACTTATGTTGGTTTATTATATTTGTAGATTCACTTCTTGTCCTAATAAACTCACTAATTTTTATCCTTTGTAACATAGGTATTTTTACGAGTCACCTCAAATCCTTTTTTTGGAGCTCCAAAAGGTATAAATAGATTAGTGTAGTAGTTGGTAGTTCATAGAACATTTATGCATCTCATGTGATCCTGGAAACAGTCTTGTGAGGGGAGAGTTATTCGCCTGTGACAGAGGAGGACACCGAGGCAGCTTATCTGAGGTCACACTGCGAGCGAGTGACAGAGGGAGCAAACTGTCGCGGGCCCTCTGTGAAGGGGCTAGTGTAGAACCTGTACATTCTAAGCTGTTCACAAGTTTTAGTTTAAATTGTCTGTGTAAGAAAAAGCTGTTAGGAAGAATTTGGAAATATTAACACCTATTTCTGTGATTGTGAATAATACACAAAGGGCGGACTCTTCAGGGAATGTCAGGAGTTTTGGAAGGATTAAAACAAATCTTTATCCATCTGCTAANGACACCTATTTCTGTGATTGTGAATAATACACAAAGGGCGACTCTTCAGGCAATGTCAGGAGTTTTGGAAGGATTAAAACAAATCTTTATCCATCTGCTAAGGGTTAAAATGTACTAGATCAATTGTCCTCAAAAAACAAACAGTGCCTGATGTGGTCTTGGCCAAATACAAAAATATATAAATTGATTAAACTTATTTTAATGGGTATTTACCTGCAATTTGTCTCAAATCCGGGTGTAATCTAGATTTGTTATCTTGCCCCTTCCGCCTGGGAGCTGTGAGTGCTGAGCACAGGCCTGACAGGCTGGGGGAAAAGGAATTCGGGAGGGAACTGGGGAGCCAGGAAACCCAATCCTGTGTGTCTGTAGGGTCTGCTTAGGTGCTGACTCAAGAGGGAACAAACTATAGACAGCGTCTTAGCCCAACAAAGAGAGAGAGGCATGCAGAGCGGGAAGCATCTCCGTGTCTGGCTGGTCTTGGTACCTCCTGTTGCTCCTTTATTATGAGCCAGGGCTTCCGATGAGCCTAAGGGTGCCTTTTGGCAGGAGCCCCCCTAATCTGCCAGAGTATTTTGCCGACCTCTCTGTCTCCCACTTTGTATCACTAGAGAAAAGGGACCCATTAGTCCAGAGGGGTCGCTGAAGATCATCCAGGCCTCTGCAGGAAATTGGGAGCCATACACCTTCCCCAAATCTCGTCGCCTACATAGAAGTCATCGTTTTAGACGAGGCATTGACGGGAAAACAGGCCGCCAGCCAGGTGTGCATCTCCTGCGCCAGCGGCACCATCCCTTCCTTCCAGAATCTGGGGAAGAAAATATGGTGGAAAAGTTTCCACTGAGTATGTAAGAGATGAGAAAGGTGAATACCTTGGTGTACAAGGTTGGAAATGGCATTTTTTTATATATAGTCTGGCTTGTATTTAAACCGTTATGCACTGAAACCCCAAGGTCTAAAAGCTCATGTTCCGCCCGGCCTGTGTGGCTCAGCTGGTTGGAGCGTTGTCCTGTGAACCAGGAGGTGGCGGGTTCCACTCCCCGGCAGGGCGTACACCCGGGGCGCTTGTTTGATCCCCGGCCGGGTCGGGGCACGTGCAGGAGGCGGCTGATCGATGTTTCTCTCACATTGATGTTTCTTTCTCTCTCTCTCTCTCTCCCCACCTTCCTCTCTCTAAAAATCAATTACTAAAAATTAAAAAGAAAGAAGTTCATCCACCCTCGCATGAGTTAAAGGGGGCCACCGTGCTGGGCAGAGTTTCTGTCCTACAGCACGTTTTTTCAGGAGACCGACCTGGGTGCACAGCATCGGAAGGTTCACACATCAGGTGTGCGCCCCGAAGCCTCGGGGAGAAGGCCCCGCACGCCTGGCGGGCCCGAGCCGCATCGCCCTGCTTCTGCGGGGGCTTGGGAAGAAGGAAACTAACCCACGGCTCGAGAATTCGGGCTGCAGGGTGAGCTCGTTCAAGTCCTGAGCCACAAAAGCCGGCAAAACACACAGATTTCCAAGAGCCACCCTTGGGCTTTTTCAAAGGACAGGAGTGTGCAACTGGCCTTTGCGATGTGGCATGTGGTTAGAAACATTTCATCACATCCCTCCAAATTTTTGTGCTTAGAAGTTACACACAAATGGGTGTTTGCCTTCAAAGCGATGCAGTCTGAACGATTTCCAAGCGTGTCGCACGTCGCATTTAGCTGCCTTTGCTGTGAAGGGCTTCCAGCCAAACGGCTCACACTCGTCACCTAGAGAAGCCAGGTAGAGGAGTTTCTTAGCAAATAGTAAGCTCCTAAAATAAAGTATATTATGCTGGTTCTGAATAAACTACAGTAGTTTCCTCATTTAGATGATCAGAGCTGTATAACCCTTCAACCGAATGCATCTTAAAGGTAGATCACTGTTTAACGTCTAGTCGTCTCCGGGAGCCTGGTCCTGCTCCCCTCCCCCGCCCGATTCCGCCGTCTCTGCCTTTCCGTGGGCATCCCGGGAGTTCTCCAGGAGGGTTACCCTGCTTGCCTTGCTCGTGTTACTGGATGGTAAAGAAAGGCCGAGTGTGGAAGGTGCTCTGTTCACACATCCTTCCAGCATGCCCTGCCCTGAGTCGATTCTAAATCTCTGGTGGCTCCCGTTGATTTCCTAAACAGCCTGGTCACCCTCCGGCATCATGTTCTCGAGGCCCCAGCCAAAAGTCTGCGCGCACATGCACGCACGTTTCGGTTTTGCTGGGACTCTTTTTGTGTTCTACGTCTATATTTCAGTATTTGGGATAAATAAGAGAATTTGGACTAGTAGATGTATTTGCTTCATGACCTGTTACAATAGCTTTATGAGTTTCAATTAACCTTCAGATCGTGCATGTATCCTAGTCATTTTTCCTTTGCTGATTTAGCAGTGACTATAAGATCTTAAAGAAACATTAAAACTCAGACATATAATTAAATGTCTGTTTCCCTTCTGCTTCCTCACATGAACGGTGACAGAGTTAACACTACAAAGACAGTCAGAGCCCCAGACTTTGGAGTCTTAGATTCCTGAGCCTTTCGTGCTTTCACTTCTGCCTAAAATCCTTTGTGGAACAAACTAGGGTATGGAGAAATGAAAGAATTATTTAAAACAGAGGAACAAATATGTCTTTATTAGAGCTTTTTCGTCAGTCAAGAAATAATTTAATTACTTAATAAATGCTACAGGCTGGGTGCTAAGGATACAGATGAATACCACTATATGACTGTTTCCATCTGAATTTTACAGCTTTTCTTGACCTTTCTGACATCTTTGTTGATCATATATCTGTATAACAGTATCTTTCATCCTAGGTATATATGCATTAAAAAAGAAGTACATACAGGCAAACTGAAATCAAGGAAGAATATTTCCATAAATTATTCTTAATGTTTTAAAATATTTTGATCCTGTGCACACAGCTTGTGTTTACATGACCATAAACAAGCCTTTTGTCAGGAAAGAAACGAGCCAGGACATATGCTTGTGGATCACAATATTTTGACCCAAAAAAAAAAAAATTGGTTCTAGCCTTTTTCATCTTCAATTTTTTTTCATATCGGAGTTTCCCAAATGAAGTGTCTCAGAGAGGTGGTCTCCGCCAGCTCACCTCCACAAGGCTTTGGTTAGTCGTCAGTGGACGGCCCCATCTTGCCTTATTTACCATTAGCCTCTCCCACACAGCAGATAAGTTCCTTTGAGGTTGGATTTTTATGAAACAAATCAGGTGGGCTAGGAGCACTGAGAGTTAAAGGAATTTGGTAGGGATCCTTTTGAAAACCTAAAATGTCCTTTTGAAATATGAATGTGTCTCCCTAATTACAGTATCTGTTGTGTAATTATGGTCAGTTACTGCTTAAATCAGCCTGTGTCTGCTTGAGTCACCCTGTATCTGCAGAAGAACAGTTAGCACAGGGAGATGGGCAAAGCTGCACTATCCTTTTGAAAGCATGACCCAAAGTTATGCACGGAAACAGGCCTTCCAAGACCTGTGACAGATGTTACAGCTGACTCAGCTGAGCATATGAAAAATATTGACCCTTTGATGGGTCATTATGTCAATACTTACATGGAAACTGTAAGTTCCTAGAGAAGGTACAGCCTTGAAGTGGAATCATCTTCAAGTCAACTTACTAGACCAAGGGAAACAGGCATTCATGGGAGTCTATAATTGCTGAAAAGCTGTATTCAATTGAAAAATTGCCTTTTGGAGCCCTGGCAAAAACAAAACAAAGCCCAAAAACAACCCTGCCATTATCACGTGATTTTTTCCAATTGTGCCTTTATTTATGCATTTCCATGTTTTTATTTCTACCTAAATAAGAAAACCTTCATACATTTAGGTTTGGACGCTGGAAATGTTCCACTGAGAGTCCTGGTCCAGGTTATGTGATGGCTGTAATTTGTGAATCTAGGAGGAGTTGGACGATTCCACTGGGCTTCAGTCTGAAGAACTGTTTTAGCAGGAATTTTACATGCAAGACTAACTGCTGATCAACAGAGCATAATATTGTATCCTGAAGTGTGCTCGCCAAAGCACAATTAATTTTTTTTTCTTCTTTCTCTCCTTCTCCTGAAATCTTCTGCCTTAGCGACTGCATTTGCCTCCAGACTTGTCAGACACAGTGAGCCGCTCGAGCAAACCGGACCTGGCAGACTCGGCCGGGCTGCTGGGCGCGGGCTGCCCCGCCATGGCCCGAGGCAAGAGGCACCTGGACTTCTAGAAGCTTCCTCGCCGCTGCCGCAGACCGTGGGACACTCTAATTATGAGTGCTAAGAGCTTATGTAAATATTTTCCTTAACGATCTGACCCTCCGATTCTTGAAAAACACAGGACTGCAAAAGGAGGCCACCGTTCGCTTTTTTGGCCAAATTTTTGTACAGAAATAGTACAGCGGAGATACTTTCATTTTAAAAGGTGTTTTCTGCTACATCTAAGGAAAATAGATCATTTTATTTTTAAATAAAAGCCAATAAAGTGTCAAAAATTAAAGATGCCTCACAGTGGTCACTGATGTGTATGTTATTAAGGCACTTAGCTCACCGTAAAGCGCCCGTCACAGAGGGTAGCATGTAAAACATTATAAAATCCAAAATTGTGGGCAAAAAACATGTTTTCTCTTTATTTCTGAAAAAGTCACTTGCCATCGAAAACGCTAAGGTTTTTAAAACATTGAAAAATGTGTTTGCTAATAAATATATGAAGACCAATAATAAAATGAATTTGCATTTATGCATCCTGTTATTAAATTGATGAAGACAAAATAATATTTTGGGATTAAGACCCCATTAAAGGTAATTAGTCTGCTACAGTAGTTAATGAATATGAAGAACCTGAGTGCTAGAAGGCACAGGAAAAGACGCTGACGGTCTTCTGGTTAGTAACCCTAAACAATTGAAGTCAGCACTATGAAATTATGTCAACACACATAATTCAGGATTGAAATTCAAACTGACAGCTACACTGATGCTAGAAAACTGGGAAAAACATGTATTGAAGCTTGCTGAGAGATTTTTACAGAGCGTAGGCCTGAGACAAAGCAGAAAACTGAGGCTAACTCAGCTCGCAGCAGTAAACCCTTGGCTGGTTATGAACAGTGGTTGGGCATTTACATTTATAACCATATAAACGTGTCTTTGGGGGTTTATAGCATACTGAACCCATTTTCATATAAAACGCTAGGATTTTCAATCATAGTTCCATATTCTCACAGCTTTTGACAAATAGTGGACCAAAAAAATTGTTTAAGTAATTTGCATATTTAAGTAAAAAGTTTCAATTTTTAAAAAGCTATTTAACGTGTTACAACCTGAGTCTCCAAAATACATTTTCAAATGTTAGAATATTTTGAAGCAGTTATAACTAGCATTTTAAGTAGTTTGCTTTTAATAATACCACAGATTATACTTTATTTGTTCTTGACAACATTGTAGAAAACAAAGACTAGGTTTTTAAACTGTCTAACCAATATGATGAATGTCAGTCATTTAAAAAAAAAAACCCACTGTAGCATAAACACACACTGTATACAGCTTTTATTCAGAATTAGAATAATTGAATCAATGACAGTGATTCGCCAGGATGTCAAATCTCTCCATCATATCCTGTCACTACCAGTTTATTTTTTGTGATCAAAATCAAAAAGACAACTATTTTGTCACCCACTATTTCATTAGTACTAAAAATCAGATTTCTTCCCTTTTTTTTTAGACTGTCTGGTTTATTTTTTTTTTTCACTTCTTTTAATTCAAGAGACACAAATTCTTTCCCATTTTCATTTCAAAATAAAGTTTCAGAATTGATCTGTCAGTTAAAATTAGAGGGCTTTTTTATATTAAGCAAAGGTGCTTTTAAAATTTAAAGCAACTTCAAAAAATCAATTTAGTCCATAGATAATAAATAATGTGCAGTTACTCCACAAAAGCTTTACTATATCCTTTGAAAGCATTATGAACAATCTGAATAAATTCAAATGACTATTTTAGTCAGGTTATTATTTTAATAACTCTAACCTTTTTCTTACCGTGTTGTGACTCATTTTATACAAACATACAACAGAACAATTACATAGCATTTGACTCTGAAAAGAAAATGTGAGGTCATCAGATATGTAAATTGCTTGTCGAAAATACTTAATAGGTCATTGATTGACTACCCTGGCTACCATGTCTATAAAACTAACAGCCAATTACTAGTTAATGTATGCTTTGCCAATAGATAAACGCTATAAAAATTGAGTGTGCATATTTGATCCCAACTTATTTTAAATATAAAAGAAACTTTTCAAACTTAGTAAAAGTGCATTTTGAACACTAATAGTACCTGGGCCTTCCAGAAATTAGATGCAAGTGTTTTTATTGTTCTGATTCACTAGGCAGTAAAAATTAGCTACGGAAGAGGGATGTATAGTTTTGTTTTTCTCTGATAAAAACCACTCTAAAAATGTGTTTTCCTTCCTTCTGCAAACATTATCAATTATCCATATGTTAATAACCTACTACATAAAAATGTTGGTCTTCAATAATGTTATAGTAGGTATGTGGACGATTTTGATACATTATGAAATAAACACTCTATAAGCAGATTTTCAATTACCAACTTATTGCAAAGATCTAAATACTTAAATAACAATGGCAAACATAGTATTTGAAATGTCCTCCAATCTTTTAAATGTTTCTAAAACTTCAAAACCCTCAATGGCATTCATTTCTTACGCTAGATTTGCCCTTTTTTAATGAGGTAAATATTTTGACTGCTGCAGTCTGCTCAGGTACTGGGATTCTTAGGCCTTAGGAATTACTTTTTAGTGGCCACCAATTTCCACTTTTCTCTTTCTCTCTCCTCCATTTATTTTTTATCTGCACCTCCAGGATCTGCGATGACTAGCACTATACAAAATGAAACTACTTCAAAAGGGAGCAACACTCGCCAATCAATTCCCTGCCTGTCTTTTTTTCTTTTTTAATATATATCTTTATTGATTTCAGAGAGAGGAAGGGAGAGAGATAGAAACATCAATGATGAGAGTCATTGATCGGCTGCCTCCTGCACGCCCCCGACTGGGGATCGAGCCCGCAACCCGAGCATTTGCCCCAACTGGGAATCGAACTGAGATCTGGATCCTAGATTGATGCTCAACCACTGAGCCACGCCGGCCGGGCCTTTTCATTTTAAAGAATCAGACACAGGCATCCGCACACAAAAGGAAAGTGGGGGAGGTGACCCCTATCATTTGTGTAAGTGCATTATGAATGTCATTTCTAAAACATCAAGTTAATACTTTCCAAAGATAGTCACCATCAACACCATCGAATTTAAGCAATACTAACCCTAAGTACTTACACTCTGAACTTGAAAACTGAGCAGTGTAGTCTTTCGGAAGTGAGACAAAATAAAACAGGTGAGGTTTATTCTTGCGAAACAAGAAAAGGGAGAGTTTATGTTTGGTCTTGGTGAGCCAGACATACAAAGAAGAAACGTCTTCCTTTTATAATCTTGTTAACATTAAGGCCCAGAGTAAAAATAAGCAGAGGAATATAGACACTACCCTGAGATGACAAAACTTCGCCAAAAAATAGCTGAATCTTAACATAATACTGTATCTTAGGAAACTGTGATAAAATTTTTTAAAGTAAGAGACGAGTATGTGAGCCACACCAAGAGCTGGGAGGTGACCACTTAAGAGTTAGGAGGCACAGCTTTGGAGGGAACATATTCTGGAAGTTCCTTGTAGTTAAAAGTATTTTTTTCTCAAATGTTTCTTACTCAAACATTACCTCTAATTCTGTTTATCTGGTCTCCCTAAGTTGGGTAAGTTTGGAGAAAAGTCACAGGCTGTCAGTCTTGTGATGCTACTGAGGACATCCCAGATAGCGGCCACCGCCCTGGGACGTGGCGCCCAAGCGTCCCGGCGGAGCTCCCACAGATAAACACATGAACACGCCTATGGGTAAATAAGCAACAGGAATAGACGGTTCCAGCAAGGAGTCAAAGGCCAGCTTGTCTCCCCAGGGTGAGGGCAGAAGGCAGGGCAGCCACTTCTTCCCACTCGGCCAGGCCGGGCCGCTGTGCCCTGGAAACCTTGACCCTCAGAGACACCCATATGTTCCCCGGTGCACAGGGCCCCCGCTCCCACAGCACTCCCTTCGCCCCTCCCAGCCCCTGCGCCCAGAGGGCCACCCCCAGCTCCCCAGAGTCCACTCTCTACACAACCCAGCCCTGGGCCAGAGCTGGCCGCCTGACCGCGGCCCGGACCGTAGGCGGTGGGAAGCCGGCCGGCAGCTGCAGCACGCACCACACAGAGCCCCTCTGACAGCCCCCCGCACGTCCCTCGGGGAACGGAGGCTGCGGGATGCCAGGGGCAGACAGACCCGCGCGGGCCGCTGCGGAGGTGTGCAAGCATGCGGTTCAGGCCACACGGAATCCAACGTGGGCACACGTGTGAAGGCTTCAGCCACCCCGGGACGGCGTCTAAATGTGCGGCAACTGCGGTGGAAGAAAAGCATTAACAGAGAGACGCCTCCCAACGGTCTGTTTACACGTAATTCCTTAACGAAAAAAGAGTAGATGTGGAGCTAGAAGATTATTTTTTTTAAAGCCTCCAATTAATTTCTATATTTCTGATCGTGTGTCTTTGGGGGTTAAAAAAAAAAAAAAACACACACACAAAAAGAGCAGAGTGTGACTGGGCGGAAGTGTGTCTTTGTCCCGAGGTTTCCGCCCGTGCAAGCATCTCCTCGAGACTGCGGAACCCCCAGGCTCTGGCGGAAGTTTGCAGAAGAAAACTTATCTATATTGACTTATATGTTGCACAGAACAGACGGAAATAAAAATCGCAGACAGGTTTTTCCCCCAACAAAGGCTTCTTTCTCTCCAGCCTTCGCTCGGGCTCAAGCACTCCTGCCCTGCGTGCCGCCACTTTAAACATGATCAGATCTGTGCTTCGTTGCAAATAACAACTGACCGACAATGGGCCCTGCTTCATAGATTTGGGAATGTTTGGCTTACGCTGCCAATGACCGAAGGCCTTTAGCTCCCAGCGGCCAGCCGCAGTCTGCTTTGTTGTCGTCTGTGGCTGCGTCTGGCTCATTATTTCCTGACATGCAGCATCCCCCCTCCACCCTCCAACCATCCCCAACCGCACAGAAAGCGAGATTCAAACGGGGACAGCTGTAGCGGTTCAATGGGAAATGATGCCTCTGTGCGGGGGGGGGCAGAGCAGGGAGAGGGCCCGTTTGAGAAAGGCAACAGCTTTCAGAGTCTTGTCTAAGAAATCTACTTTTGAATATACTTCAGTGAAATCGCTGTTGAAATAGGCTGACAATGGAAATCTGCCCAGATTGAAAATGCCAGCCCTAATTCAACAGACGATCCCTGGTTCGTAGCTTGTTGCATTTTTAAAATTATTTCTAGACTTTGAGCTTTTGAATTAAATGGCTAGCGGGGAAATGTGACCATTCGGTATGTATGTTGTGGGTATAAGTGGGCACAGACCTACATGCAGCTTCGAGTGAAATTGTTTTCCAACACATTTCCGATTCATGATGTCTGTAAGAATTATTTCTTTAACGATCATCGGGATTTAAAATACAGTACGTATGAAAGTAACCATCGGTTTTGAATGTTACTCCAACGTGGGAACAGAACTTGTAACACCACACTATAGGGTTAAAAAGAAAATAGTGTAATAAAGGAAATACAAAGGCTTTGGCATGGTTTTACAATCAACACTGGTTAATTCTGATATGTCATTGTGAACAACTTCAAAACACTGAAGTTTTAAAACTCTTGCAAGCACTTTTAATTGATTAGGAATGAATTCTAGATGCACAAAATGATTGGACTGTGAACAGTAATACAACTATATCTAAGAACAATAAACTTTTTCTGGCCAAAAAAGAAACGTATGATTGCATGAAAATGTA